GTTCACAAGCTATGAAGCCAAATATACCCTGTTGGAAAGGACTTGTTGCGCCCTAACTTGGGTCGCCCAGAAGCTTAGGCACTACCTGTTGGCCTACACCACTTATCTCATTACCAAGTTGGATCCTTTAAAATACATATTCCAGAAGCCAATGCCCACAGGGAGGTTAGCAAAGTGGCAGATCCTGCTCACTGAATTTGACATAGTCTATGTCACTCGCACAGCAATGAAAGCCCAGGCTTTAGCAGATCACCTGGCTGAAAACCCTGTTGATGATGAATACCGGCCCTTGAGCACCTACTTTCCGGATGAAGAGGTAAATTCAATTGAGATAACATCAGAAGACACCAATGCTTGGAAAATGTTCTTCGATGGGGCTGTGAATGCAAAAGGTGTTGGAATTGGAGCAATTTTAATCTCACCCACCGGTCAGCATTATCCAGCCACAGCCCGGCTTCGGTTTTTCTGCACAAACAACACTGCCGAGTATGAAGCCTGCATTATGGGCATGAACATGGCAATCGACCAAGATGTCGAAGAATTGTTAATCATGGGAGATTCGGATCTGATTATCCGACAAGCTCAGGGAGAATGGGATACCCGGGATGTCAAGCTTATTCCCTACAGGCAACATGTGGAAGATCTTAGCAGGCGGTTCAAGTCGGTTGAGTTCAGGTACATTCCTCGTTTTCACAATGAGTTAGCCGATGCGCTCGCTACTTTGGCCTCGATGCTGACGTACCTAGGCAATACCCACATTGATCCATTGGAAATCCAAATTCGGGAAAGGCACGATTACTGCAATACGGTTGAAGCAGAACCGAGTGGTCAGCCATGGTATCATGATATCAAGAGATTTCCGAAAACTAAAGAATATCCCGAGCAAGCCAGTGTGTTGGCCCATGTTCAGATGAAGTTTTGAAGATGGACAAAATGAACTCAGTCATGAACCAGGTCCATCATGTGAGACACCGTGTTGATATGCTTGCACATGTGACATACGCGTGAAGAAGATAAGTCTCAAGGATCAGCAACAATATCTTCTGAATTGATCGAAAAGATTGCAGGATAAGGAGTTGAAGTCTCCTTATGAAAAGAGAATTATATCCGGATCAAGGATATGGATTAGGAGTTAGAGTTGTTCTTGGACTCGAATTGTCAAAGGATCCACAATTCGAGTTCTTATAAAACTCTGATTACTAACTCTATAAAAATAACGATTGTTCTCTTTTACAGGAGGTTGCACATAAGCAGAAGTTAAGCATATTTGAGAGCAAAAAGATCAAGTCTGATTTGCAAGCAATATATGCGAGATACAAGTGTGCACGTCTAAAGCTACATGAACTAAGATAGAAGAACCAGTTTCATCATTGTGTTTATTCTAAGTCTAGTTCAATTGTAGTAGGTTTTCATATTGTACCTTTCAGCTTTCATAGAAGCAATTGTAATAGGTATATTGAGTATTCAAGTCAGAGTTAACTTGAAAGTGTCGCAACAGTTGAGGTTGTGTGCTACACTGGGATTAGAGTTAATCCTTAGGTTTACAAAGAGTTTTGTAAATGCAGTTTTTGGCTCAGTGATTTTAGTGGAGTTTGGGAAAATCCTACTGAGAAGTAGGTCGTGGTTTTTTTACCTTTTGAGCCAGGTGTTTTCCACGTAAAAATCTCTATGCACTTTACTTTCAGCATCTATTATTCCGCAAACTGCTGTAGTTAGAACACTTAGAAGAACCAGGTTCTTCTAACGCGAAAATTAGGTACCACACAAATCACCCCCCCCCCCCTCTTGTGTGGTATTGACGTTTATAACATCACGTTAATACACCTGAACACAGTCGACACTAGAGTGTAGCGCCTAGTCTCAGTGGTTGACTCTTGCTAAAGTGCCTTAAATTTATATGTTTGTAACTGACTTGAACACCCAAAAGAGAGTGCCTTGATTAACCAATCTAGAGTGAGTCATGTGCCATGTGTGTGTGAGCTGTACTGTATTCTATGCTTTACATTTCATGCCTAGAACTTGCCCTGTGTGTTTGCAAAGCGAAATAGTAGCTTTATTCAGTCTTAGAAGTGATATAGGCATTTCTTTGTTAAGCCAGATATATAAAGTAAACCCACCTAAATGTAATACATCGTAGTTAACCCCGTTGAGCCTATAAGCTTGTTTCTTTGGCAACCACATTGCGAACCTTACCCAATTGTTTGAATAGCCATCTGTTTGAACCCCTTTTACCTCCCATGAGCACTTGAATGGTCTTGACATATGCAAAAGTTAAAGTGTGGGGTAGTGGTTTGGTGTTTGAGTGGAACCAATGAAATAGAGGAAAGGTGCAGTTTTGGAAGAGTAAAAGAAGAAGCGCCACGTAAAAAAAATGAATAAATATAGTAGTTGATAAGTGGTAGCTTGATACAAATGCACCTAAAGGAATGGGATGTTATAAAGAAAATGTGGTGGAACGTCTGGTTGACATAAGTATGATTTGGAAGGTTAATGTGATTGTATTAAAAGTGCTTAGGGAGGTTAGTCACTATATCCAAATATATCCTACCCATTCCTTAGCCTACATTACAACCAAGTGAAGTCCTAATTGATCTTAGACTGAATAGGCACGATTAATAGATTAGTACACTACGGGCAAGCCTATGGTGCATCTTTGTAGCATGTGAATGTTCTTTTTGAGAGTGAGCGAATTTTGTCCATCTAAGTTCCTAATTGTTCTTAATAATATCAATTGTGGAACTACTCTCTTGTGTGATGTGAGGGCATGTGATTCACGAAGGAAAGATAAGTCTTGACTTCTGTATAGAGTAGTTTGAGTAAGTGCGAATATTGCATGGCATGAGAGATTCAACTTTTGAGGCAAAGGTTGTTCACTACTAGGTGCAAATTTGGTGAATTGTTCTTGGTGTGATTCGTTAAAGGGAAAGCTTAGGGAAGGAACTTTGATAGAGTATGGTGGATTGCTCGAGGACTAGCAATGATTTAAGTGTGGGGTGTTGATAATAGGCTACATAGACGATATTTACACCCTAATTATACCATGCTTTATTGTTGTTTTATAGGCTAAATGATAACAAAATGCTCTAATTGGTGTTCTTTCGCTTTGCAGGGACTAATCCAAGTTAGAAAGAACTATGGAGTATTTTGGAGTCAATAATGTGAAGAAAACGTCCAATCAAGAAGCACCCGAGCGGAAAGAAGCAAAAAGTGGATTGGGGTTGAATCCACCGCGACCGCGGTAGGCCAAAGACGCGAGGCAGAATGTCTGGCTCTTACCGCGGTCGCGTCGCGGCCGCGGCCGCGGTGAACTGTGCAGTTGCCCAGAACTTGTGGGACCAAAGTGTAACTCGGGAAAAACTTATTCCAAACCCTTATAAACTCAAGAAGCTCGCCCAAGAAAGTATCAAGCTTTTTTTTTAACTACTTTGGAGGCAAGAACAAGTGTGAGAAGATCAACCAAACATTAGAGTTTTTCTATCTTCTCTTTATTATTGCAATTTCAAATTATGAACAATTTAGTAGTTTTCTCTTGCTTTGTTATGAGTAGCTAAATAGTTGATCTAGGGTTGATGGAACCAATTGTTGGATGAAGTTTTGACTCAACTTTGTTATAATCGAGCCGGATTTATTATATGATTGTTCAACTACGTTTTGTATGGTGATTAATTGAATGGACCCTTGATTAATCTTGTCTAATTGCCTTGTGTTGCTTGAGAAAGAATACTAGGTTAGACTGCTGTTGAACAACACCACTTTTTGGTAATTGAAGAGATTCATTACTTGAACTTAAAAGTGGGGTTAGAGATAACGAAACTTTGGTGGGATAAATCAGAGCTGCACAAATTGTCAGCTAGAGTAGTTCGAGAGAATGCTCTAGTAAATTATCGTAGTTGATCGAGAGATAATTACGATAACCCATAGCTCATAATCCTCATAGAGTATTACGGCGAGATTATAGCAAAAGAGTTAAGACTTAAACTAGAAATAGGGGAAATCAATGCCCTAGACCTTTTTACCCTTGAATTATCTTTGATTTAGCATATTGTTATTTTTAAGATCATTTGAAGTAGTTACACAAAAACCCAACCTTTATTGATAAAAATCTTGCATCTGGAAATTGTTTGAGTTGATAATAGCATTGCCAAGAGTTGTAATAGATAGGTTAGTTCCCTGAGGATTCGACTCCGGACTTAAAATCGGATTATATTTGCAACGACCGCTTTGTCTTTTAGAAGACATAGTTGGGCGTGATCGGGCTTCAAAGCACAAAATTAGGTTATAAAACATAAGATGACCTATCGGGTCATCACAAAAGGAAAAAAATAATCAATTTTGTCTTGAACTTCTAAAATGACAAATAATTTGAGATAACTATCTTTAGTAGCCATAACTCTTAATATGAGACGGAGGAAGTAGTAAATTTCAAATACGAGGAAATAATGCATTAAATCTCTACTATTATTTTATACTTGTCTTCGAAAGACCGAGATTAAATGTTTTCATTCACGATACACTAAAAATTTAGTTTATGTACGCCTTATCATCATAATTGTCATTTAAATGATTTAGTTTATATACGCCTTATCATCATAATTGACATTCAAATGCGCACAGAACAAATTTTCTAAGGTCAAATTAGTTTGCGCACATTTCAACCATTAGTTTGCGCACATTTCAACCATTGACACCTACATCATTCCTCCACACGTAGAATCAGGGGCGGACCTTCGCCGAAAAATTACACTGTATATATGAGGCAAAATCTGTTTTTTACCTCTATATATTAAATTTTAAACACCCTTAACACAATCCAAAAGTGTAGTTTAGTGGTCAAGGAGGTTCAAAATCTGCATAAGGTCATGAGTTCAATTCCCGCTAGCTACAAAAAAATTTTTTGAACCCCCTTTGTGAACACATATATGTATTGAATAATGTACTTACTAAAATTTACGCCAATGAGAAAACAAATACCTAATAAACTTTTTCTACTTTTGGTGGGATTCAAATAATAATAATAACCTGTATTCTTCATTTCAGTTTCTTAATTTACAAGGGGAAAAAATTACAAGCAGATTTCTGATAATAAACATAAAAATATGTAACAAAAATAACTTAGGAAATCATTTAAAATTTATACAAGTCTCTTCACAACAAAATTGTATTTACTCAAAATCAAAAGAAATATGTGCAAAATCAACCTCAAGAGGAAGATTCAAAAGGAATTCATTTCAAGAGAGTAACTCCTCTTCAACTTCACCAACTCTTTCGCAACTTCATTAAGCACATTCTCTTCCTTCCCTTCTCCGGCAAAACCAAACCCTCCGGCCACCAAATCTTTGCCGTCATCCGCCTTGCTCCACTCCTCTACCGGCTTTACCACCACTAATGTCGCCCCCTTCATCATGCAACCTTTCGCCGGTAACTCTAGCTCCGGCACGTACCACATCTTCACCTTCAATGCCGGTACCTTCGCCCTAAAAACCAATAACAACAACGTTTTAGCCCCCAAACAAATTGAAATTAGTTATAGGATATCTCACTGACGGTGTTTCTTCATTTAAATTCATCTCCGTCAATATTATATTAAATAAAGATAAAAGTAAAAATATGATCTACTACTACTAACTAATACTAGAAGGGAACCTTGACGTAATGGTACAAGGGTAAAAATTGTTGTCGTGTGATCAGAAATTCACAAAACCGCATAATCTCTTGCAGAAGTATAAAATAAGGTTGTATACTATCATATGATCCTGCCCTTTTTCTGACCCCGTAAAGCGGGAGCTTAATGCACTAAACTACTTATTTTTTAATTATCTCGATGTGACCTATAACTCACATGTTCGAGCCATGCAATCAGCAACTGATGCAAATATGCTGCCTACATCACACCTGTACAGTCCTTACCTGGGCCATATTTCGTGCATCGCACTGCCCTTTTAACTTTTAACTTCGTTTAGTTGTGTCTTGACATCTTTATATATGGTCAATCCTAACTTCATGAACTAAAATTTAGGGTTGAGTTAGACCATGTCCATTTACCCCTTTTACCATTACTAATAATAATAGTGAAAAACTGAATATATACCAGAAGTTCTGTCCATTTTTAGCATATAAATAAATCTTCGACAATGCTAAAATACCTGTTAGACGAAAATACCCTCGTATTTCTCCTCATTTCTTCAACTTGTTCGCAGTTCATACAACAAATTCCTTGACCAATATCGTCCGTAATCACTACATTTTCAAGCATTTTCTTCTCCTTAATCGTTTCTTCTAACAAACAATGCCGCGTTGATGCTGCTATTACACACGAAATTATCCACACAATTCGCAATTTCAACTCATCGTTTGTCATTCGTAGCGATTCTACTGAATCGCCTCGTTGTATAATACGAAAATTTTCGGTTACGGTTTCTTCTCCGCCTTGATATTCGTGAATCGGAGAAATCGACGTTCCTCCGACGATCAAACAATGTTTCAATTGACTTCCGAATTCCGCTTTCCATTTCAGCAACGAATCGCCGGAATTTTTCAAACCAATATTTTCGCCGGCGGCAAGTTGAATTTCTAATTGCTTGATTTCGTTGAAATTTCTCAGAATTTCAGCTGGAGAAGTATAAGAACAAGTACAATTACAATTATAGCCATCATTTTTCTGGCTAAAAGTATAAGGAATGGGTATACAAATTGGGTTCCATTTTGTAATTTGAAGAAGAAAAAACTGAAATGGTTTGAGAAAAACTCTGTTGAAAAACTGAAAAAGTTGATTTCTATTGGAATTTGATGATTTGTGGTGATTTTGGGGTGGAATTGTGAGAGAAATATTTTGTGTTTGGGTAATGAGAGAGTAAAAACGTTTACAAAGAGACGAGAAAATGCAAAGGGATTTACAATCTTGAACTTTTTCAAAGATTGTTAGCACAATGGCATCAGGTAAACGATCGAACAAATCTTCATTTTCTTTTACAGCAAAAATAGTTGACATTTTCTTCTTCTTTTTTGGCTTCTTATTGTTCTTGTTATGTTATTTTTGTTATTGTTATTTATATATAGAAGGTTTTTGAATGTGAGATTTTGTTGTAAGGGTTTTCGAGAAGATATTAAATACGTGTGAAGATATTTATAAATGATCAAGTAGCCTTTGATGTCCCGGTCCATCGAATTCAGCACTTTTTTGCTCTGATTTATCCAATGAAACAAAATAAAGGAAAAATTGTAAAGTATAATTGCTCTTTAAAATAATAATCAATTAAATATATATTTTCGTATATAAATATATATTTTGTTTTAATTTATGTGAACCTATTTAATTGTACATAAAGTTTAAGAAAGAAATGAATACTTTTGATATTTGTTGTCCTAATCAAGCTATAGTATTTGCGTGGATATGATTCTTCTGAAACATATAGTATTAACCATATTATAGTATTTATGTGACTCTAAAAACCTCTCATTAACGATAGAATTTGAAATTTAAGTTAGATCATTACTAATTTTAGAAATAATTTATTCTTTTTGAAACAGACTAAAGAAAAATATGTTCACATAAATTGAAATAAAGAAAGTAATATATATTATTTTTAATATTTAAAATAATAAATATAATTATTTGATCGACTAAATGTATTATAGAGGGATGTTTTATAGATGTACATTGTACACGTTTTGGGGGGCGTCGCTATTTTTGACTTTGGGAAAAGGGGGCTGAAGACTGAAGATTGAAAATAGCAGACAATAGATTTGTCGTGTTGACAGGTAGTATTTCTATTCAGAAGTGCGTGGCAAGCTTATCTTTATCCAAAATGAGGATGATAATTGATCGGCTTATATTATTTTATAACTTTAAGTTTTAGTATTTGTTTTTATGCAACTGGATGCACAAAATATTTCACGTACAGTTTGGAAAAGAACCGCACCCCAAGAAGATATAGGGTGTGTTTTATATAACGAAAAATATTTTCTGTGAAAATATTTTCTTGGAAAATATGTAGTAATCTTATTCTTTTTTTGGTGTTTGATACGCAAATTAAGGAAAATGACTTCTCAAGAGTATTCATAAATAATTTAAATATAATAAACATGAAGCCATAAACTTTCAAACCAACAACCTTCCGAATCCACAAATTTCATAAATTTTCGAACCACTAAACTTTCGAAACCGCAGAATTTCGAACCCGTAAACTTTATAATTTCTAAACCCGTAAACTTTCAAACACATAAACCTCCGAACTCATAACTTTGATACTTGTAAATTTTTGAACCTTTAAACCGATAAAAAAAAAACTAAAACTAGAAAATATATTTAAAAAATATTTTTTATTCATGAGGGGGGGGGGTAGAGGGGGCAGGGGAGGTGGGGGCGGAAAAATGAAAAAAAGACAGAAATTTGAAATTACAAAAAAAAAGTAAAATTTTTTTTAGTTCCGGGGGAGGGGGTGGGCGTGGGGTAGGGGTAGGGGGAGGAGTGGGAGTAGGTGGTGCAGAAAAACGAAAAAAACAAGAAATTTAGAAATTAGCAAAAAAAATAAAGGTAAAATTTTTTTTTAGTCGGGTAGGAGAGGTTGGGGTGGGGTGGAGGGATAGTAGGGTGGGTGGTAACAGAAAAACTGAAATTTATAAAAAAAAAAAAAAAAAAAAAAAAAAAAAAANGGTGGGGAATGTTGAGAAGGAGTTTTGGAAAATATTTTCCCTTCTCTTGATAAGGAAAATATTTTCCTCCAACTGGAGTAAAATGAGTTGATAAGGAAAATGTTTTCCAAAATATTTAAGCCAACCAAACATGGGAAAATTGGAAAATATTTTCTGAAAAATATTTTTCTTCGTACCTGTAGACAATAAATTTGCGTCGAGAAAACTAAAATCAAGACCGAAAATATCGCAACAATCGTAGTATTTTATTTCGAATATTTTGAGTGTTTACAATCTCTATGAATCCTCTGATTCTTCTTTTCAATTGTAAATAAATTCAAAGGCCTTTGAGCTTGATTTTGAATTTGTAGTTATCGCCACGAAAGATGATCTTGTTCTTGAGCTTGAGCTTGATTGCTTGGACTTGAACTTCTTTTGGTCTTCGTTCTTGAGCTTGGAATTGATTTGTTCTTCGTTCTTGAGCTTGAACTTGAACTTGATTTGGTCTTCGTTCTTGAGCTTGGACTTGACTGCTTGAACTTGAACTTGTGGAGGAATTTGCACCGTTTGATCCACGAGCTTTTTCTTGCTTCTTGTTATAGCTTCTGGTCTCTTTTATAAATTATGAAGACCCATATTTATAGTTGTGGGAGGGAAGAGTTGTGATAAGAACAAACTATTTCCGACCAATCAAATTGAAGTGTGACATGGCCGCATTTGATTGGCCAGAACATGTCACTTGCACACGTGGCACGATTTCATTGGTCTTTTAGTGTGACTTGTCATGCCTTGTCATTTTGACACGTGGCATGATCCTATCTGCTCTTCCGTTTGACTTGGCGCGCCACGTCATTTGACACGCGGCACCAAACTGGGCCTCTAGGAAGATGACACCTTGGGCTTAATGAAGTGGTCTAATTACTTTAGCCCAATTAAATGGGCTAGCCCAACTAATGGATTAAGACTTATTTATTTAATTCATATATATTGGACTTATATAATTAATTCAGTTATATTAGCCCATAATATTTATTTGGACCAATATATCTTGAATTTTAAAATATAATCCAAATTATTTTATGGATTTAAATCCAATAAATTTTGCATGCCTACAGTACCTAACACACTCATAATGTAAGTAGTTTACTATGATACAAGTATCAGTGGCTGTTTTACGGTTCGAACATATAATCTATAAGTCACGCAAAAACAACCCGTGACCTACTGTTTTCCTGAAAGGATAATGTTTCCGCTAGTTTTTCTGAGATTTCATGGTTCTTCTACTACTAGTAAAGGATGGCCATGCTGAGCATGGGCCCAATCACTATAGTGCAGGATTTGAGTTTTTTTTATATTCATTCAAATTTTTGGTGGTCTAAGTTGTATGATATCTCACTGAAACTGTTGGGATATATGCTATTAACCATGGATTTGGTTTAGATATAGTATTTATTATGATAATATTTTTCATTCAATTTTATAAAGTTTTAATAGGTCATATATTAATCGGTGTCCTTTGCTTATATAGTAGATGATTTAGTGTATAGAATTTAGCTTATACACGGAAGATTAGATCATCGGTTCTTATAAGTATACAATTTGAGTTCACAATCTAACGATGGAATTGAACAAACCATCAGGAATGATTGTAGCACAAGATTAAATAATAATTATATCAGAAACTTCAAAAGTACGATGTTTTTTCCTACTCATTCTAGTTCTAAAGTGTTTTGAACTCTTGCATTTCTTTTAGAGTGGTTTTATCTTTTGTTGGTGGCATAATAATAAACCATGGGATTTTATTTTGGTAATTAAAGAATGTTTTTTTAGCTTCCCTTTTGTCACAAAATTGTCCAACTTGGGTATTCACTTTACACAATTTATATATAATTATTTTTTGATTAAATCCTATGTTTCTGTCGCGTTCATGCATTATTAATAATAGAATAGGCCATGGTGTCTATTTGAATTCATTTATTGCATAATTTTATAAGTTTGAACAGATTGATTTGTAAGAAAGCAAGTTTGATATGAAATGAATGGATAGCAAAGAGATCACATTGTTAATATTTAGTTTGTAAAATAGTTTTGCATTAGGTGTCATTATAAATTTTAAAAATATATTAAGAATTTTGAACAGTATTATTTGAAAAAGTACTTTATAGAGTAGAAGTTTGTGTTAGGCTTTAATTAAAAAAATATTTTACTTAATATTATAGTAACAATATATGGTTAGCCAAGAATTCAGGAAATTTTATCCCTATTCATTAGAAATCAACAAATTCCTTTACAATCTAAATTATGCAGTACAATGTAAAATATGATTATAATTAATGAAACCAACAAGAGAAAGAATGGCTGCGTAGCAACTACAATAAGCTAACAAAGAAAAACGGTCAGACATCATCCACAATGTAGCCTTATGGGGTTTGAGAGTCGTGTTTAGGGAGAGAACTTTACGGGATAAGTGTTAGTGTGTCACTTGTGTTTGCCTCTTCGTGAGGGTGTTCTCTTAATATTTTTGTATTCACTTTTATATAGTGGATTGCTCATCTCCGCGGTGGATGTAGGCCAGTTGATCGAACCACGTTATATGTTTGTGTCTCTTTTGGTAGATTTCTCTTTTGTTATCTGATTTACCATCGTTAAGGGTTTGCTTTACTAGCTTCCGCATGACACCTGATTTTTTTCGTTCCTAACAAGTGATATCCGAGCGAGGTTCAAGACAGATTCATCTTGGCGGGTTAAGTTCTAGCCTCAACATATTTGACGGCAATCAGAATTTTTGTCTGAGAAATTTGACCGGACAGTGCTACGCACGTAGAGACAAACTTTGCGGTGGAGATTTGGAGATGCGGCATGTTGAAGGCTATGTGAAGAACGTGGATCAAGTTTATTTTGTCAGAAAATTCAGACCAAGGGAGAGAATTGTTAGGTGTTTGTCCAGACTTTCTTACCATATTTGATTTTCCTATCTGTAGAAGGAAAGGACAACATATTTACCATAATTGGGTTTTCCTTTTCGTAGAAGGAAATTATAAATCTTCCATATACTAGTCCTTTTTTCTTGTAGGAAAATGTTTGGACTTCTATAAATTGAGGATCCTTCCTTCTCATTCAATAGCATCCACAATGTAACCATATGGGGTTTGAGAGTCGTATTTAGGGGGAGAACTTTACGGGACAAGTGTTAGTGTGTCACTTGTGTTTGCCTTTTCGTGAGGTTGTTCTCTCAATATTTTTGTACTCTCTTTTATATAGTGGATTGCTCATCTCCGCCGTGGATGTAGGTGAGTTGACCGAACCACGTTATATGTTTGTAAAAAAAAAAAAAAACGGCCAGACAAAATAATCCAGAAAACAATTGAAAGTAACTCATTTGGTTATTTTGAAGAAAAAAAAATAGCGATTTGGAAGTGAAATTACAATCTCTTTCACAAAACAATAATTTTTTTGTATAGCCTATGGTAGC